CAAGACTCATTTATAGGCTCCATTTACAACAAGAAAGCCGAAGACCATTTACAAACAATAAGCAATCCCAAGCCCAAAAATATAAAAGCCTTTATAAAACTTTCCATCTAATTAATGGCTAATTAGACCCAACATGATATAGGAATCTGCACGGAAGAGTGATTTTTTGACAAAGGAGTTTGCTAATCGAAAAATCTCAGATCAAACGAATGATTAACGACACAAAAAATTCTAAATCTTAAACAAACCTCCAGAATAGTGATAGCAAATACTCATATTTTGATTGATCAAGTCAAAAAATTGATTATAAGCACTCAAAGGTCTAGCGTCTTCAATAAAACTTCAAAAATAAAGATTGCAGAAACTCACACTTCTAATTAATCAGATCGGAAATTGATTTTAAGCACTCAAAGATCTAAAATATTTTCCAAATATGGCTTTCAACATGAAAAACAGAATCAAGCTTCTCACAAACATTTCATCGAACATGTTCAATGCAGAAATTGATTTAGAAGAGAATCATCATCTTCTAACTTTTTATCTTCTCCAAAAACCATCAAGATCAAGAAAATCTTCTTTAAAAAATTAAAATCATTCTTCATGATGTGTAAAATCACAAAAATAATACCTTGAAGTTAAGCATACGTATGAGATCAATCTTGAATCATCCAAATCTTGAAATTGATCTTGAATCCTTGAATTTTGCCAATAATTGATCGAACTGAAGTAGTTTTACTACAATTGGCTCTGATACCAATTGTGGATCTCGTATAACAACAATCAAGAAACTATGTACAATTAGAGTAGAAGTAGGCATGAAGAACACTTTCACTGAAGATCTCTACTCATATGCTTTGATTACAATGGAGGAAATTTGAGATTATTAATATTGGAGCTGACTCTCATATAATCTCTCTCTCTCTCTCTCTCTCTCTCTCTCTCTCTCTCTATTTTGAGTCTAAACAAAATCTCTCAAATTTAGACTAAATGAACTTCCAAGACCCATATTTATAGGGTCCATTTATGATAAGAAAGCCCAAACCCATTTACAAACAATAAACATTCCCAAGCCAAAAAATATAAGTCTTTATAAACTTTCCATCTAATTAGGGGATAATTAGACCCAACATGATATGGGAATCTTCTTAGAAGAATAATTTTTTGACAATGAATTTTCTTATCCATATATTTTGAGATACCATTTGACACTTCATCTGGTCTTGATTCTTACATCAGAAGTACGTATGTTGATGGCTAAGCAAAAAAGTGAATTGTTAAGGGATCTAGTTTTAAAATAGATGGTGGAACTAATTATAGCCTATTGTATGTTGTAGCATTGCTATAACATTAGTCTGCTAGAATTTGTATTTAAGTCTCACCAAAAAAATCTTACAACCTTGCTTTCTTTATTATCTTTTAATTTTAATCAAGTGTTAACTCAAACCAAATGAAGTCTTCAAATTCGTCATTTGAAATCATTTCATTCTCTATACTTTTACTCAACTTTTACTTCAATCTCCAAGAACGGTATTTGGTATTCATACCACTTTATTACTTGAAGGAAGATATTAGAGCTATTTGTACAATTGCTTTTGATCATAATTACAACGTCTGAGGGTGTTTAAAACAGCTCTCATTAGTAAGTGCATAACGCAACTACAATGGTCTATTTGAAAAGTTTCACTGTAATCATTTTTGTTTGATGTCATCATTGTTTTGGTTCAACAATAACCAATTTTAAAGTTTGGTTTAATCGAAGTGAAATTCGCGGCCACCCTGCACAACTACCTAGTTGCCCGCACAACTACCTAGTTGTGGTGGTTTTGTGTTGTGCATGCATACAATTTGTTATGAAGATTGTTGTTCTTTAAATTTTTTAGACGCAAATTGTTATAATTGTTGCGTCAATATGATTGGAAAACCTTAAAACTCACTAGACCTTATGGTTTAAACCTTATTATAGAGGATGTGATGTTGTATTTAAGGCCTGGAGAATCCTTAAGAGTTGAGGATCATCTATTGAACCACTCATGGTTGATTTTCGATTCTAGACTTTTTGTATCCTTTCTATTATTCATATATATATATATATATATATGTGTGTGTGTGTGTATGTATGTATATACATAGGATCAGGTTCAGGGGAAACCGAGAAAAAATGAAAAATTGAGGAACACCTTGGTAACCGTTCATCTGGATCACATGTGCATATAAGTAATTTTTAAGCAATTTATCTGGTATGTACATGTGCATAACATGCACACGTGTGTAAAAACCAAGAAACAACTCCAATTAATTATATGTATATGTGCATACCATCCAGATGAACGATTGTCAGGGTGTTCCTCGGTTTTTCCCTAAACCTCCCTATGTGTATGTGTATGTGTATGTGTATGTGTATGTGTATGTGTATGTGTATGTGTATGTGTATGTGTATGTGTATGTGTGTGTATGTGTATGTGTATGTGTATGTATGTTCGGGTATCTTCAGGTTTAAGTTATATGTGAATGTTTGCATCTAGGTTTATCTTGAACTTGTTGGATGCCTTATATGATGTCATGTTTATTTGTTGGTATGCCATTTAGGTGTGTCTTTGTGGTTGAAGAAAATATTTGGAGTATGGACTTGAATTTGTGGCTATGGAATTAAGATTTCTACGCTAGATAACAACTTTAGGTCAATATTGCAAATCAATGCGGTGCAAGCTGAGGATGTGGTATTTATTGGTTCACCATGGTCATACTAAAGTGTCAAATATGGACCTTTGGCTTTGGTTTTAATTACAATCAGGAGTTTTTAGTGTCACATTCGTTGTTTTATCCATGTATTTGGGAAGTAAGTGGTAACCTCGAAGTTGTCAGATTTTTTGTGATTAAAGATAGGTGATCATGATTATCTTGATTGTTAAGGATTTTAGTGTTTGGTTAATCCTTGCTTGAGGTGTGTCTTAAAAGTTATGCAATCAATGTGTTTGGGATGTTTGATTCCCTATGGGGTGTAACTTGGGTTTTCCTAGATAACAAAACCAGGTCAACAACTAACGTGGGTTGTTTAAGGAATCTTGCGAATTTGTGTGGTTAGCATGAGATGTGGTAGTTTGGAGTATGGATTCAGAGTTTTCTTGGACCAAACTAAACTATTATTAGTGAATTGGTTGCTAAGGAAATTTTGAGTAGCTTAATTTTTATGTGGACTTCTTTACCACTGGGTAAAGTCATCGTGGGAATAGGTACCCTAATTGGAAAGAGTATGCTAGATTACAATCGGATCATTTTTTTCTTTCAAGGATCACCAGGGTTTGAATGCCATGGAGAAATGAATATAGCTGATAGAGGTTTTTCCAAAAGAATTTAGAGAGAAATTTGTGGTGGATCGACGCTTATAAAAGTAAGCAGTTGTGATTGAAAAATTATTTTGAAGGTGGTATGTGTCATTCAAGAATGGGAGACAATCGAGGCCATCGTGGAAATGGTTGTAAAGCATTAGTAGTATGTCCTCCCTAGAAGTGTGGGAATATATCAAAAGTTGAGGTAGAATTATCTTTTTGGGGATAACCATTATGTAACCTTTTGGGAAAATCATGACTTAAGGAACATTATTTCGATTTTACCGTTTTATATTTATGAGAACTGCTTAAACTCACTAAATATTAAGGTTAACACTTTTTTTTGTCGGAATGTACAGTAGGTCCTTGTAAGGGCGATACTAACGACACTTGAAAAGAGCTGAGTGCTAGTTAGATGCACGTGAATAATTTAGCTCGTTTGGACGTTTTTCGACGAGAGTTTTAGTAACACCAATTCTAATCTAGTTCTCGAATAGAATTAGATTCTAAGTTCTTGACTATGACCTTAATTTATTTTGTATATAAGCATAAAGAGGTTTTTCAGAAGAAAGTTGTATTGATTGTATTGCTTTATTAAAGAAATTAATTTAGTCGCTCTCTATATTTGTGGTGTTAATAGCCGAGGCTGAAGAAGCTGAAAAAGAACGTCAATTGAAGGCTTATCGTATCCAATTGGTAAAGTTGGACTCTATCAGAGAAAACCCTTTTTATACCTTTAAGGATGAGTCCAACTTCATACCTCACATGAGTGTCAAGAGGGGGCAATTTAATCGTCAAACATAAAGGCCGTAGTAAAGGATTCGAAAAAAGCATCCACAAGGACACGATTGGTTATATTTTCAATTTAGGGACGGAATATGTTAACTTCATGAAAGCACTGGGACGTAACTAGTGTCAACAGAAGGCCGTGTAATGCCATTGACAATCATCAATTATAACAACAGATTTTCAACGAACATTATAGGGTCGCTAATCTGACAGTAATCTATCACTAGACAGTCTATTTTTTCTGTTTATCTAAAGGTAATTACAGTCAGAATTAAGGTAATTACAGTCAGAATTGTCCGTAGCAAAGCTTGTCTAGCCAGAAAGCTTGAGAGAGCGCATTCTTGTCCTTGATTTCATGTTTTGTGAAATCGTTTTTTATTTTAGGGTTTGTTCCTTTTTACATACATATGTCCATGTTCTTGTTGTATATGTTCTTACAATGTTAAAAATAAGGTTTCACAGTCTATAATTTCTAGATTTTGTTAGAAGGTTGTTAAGCTCAAGCGTTGCAAAATATATAAAAATTTACAGATGAATTAAATAATAACAATTATGATATAAAATATTTTAAAGTATATTTTATTCGGAAAATTTCACATCATTAACCAGGAACGTTCTTTTTCTAAAAACCGATGATGATATAATATTTCATATGAATTTTTTATGTGTGTCAAATATTAAATACAGTGATTATCATATATTTGTTTCACATATATTCGATTTACAATGTAAAAATTTTTAACGTGTTTAACAAAAAATACACATAAAAATTTTACATTGTAAACCGATTACATATAAAACGAACACATTATAAAACAAATATATATTAACAAATACATTATATACTACACTTAAAATAGAATTATATGAAACAGAACTTCAAAATAGAAGTTGATAACTCACAAAACTTGGACACCATATAGCGTTTCATTTACCTTACCACATTAGCAAGGTAAGAGGCATGATAACGGCTAAGATTCCTACAAGGCATGAACATTTTTATTGAACAAATAAACCGCGAAACTTTAAAAATTAGTTACCTGTATAAAAATCTAACCATTAAAAAATTGCTTTCTTAAACACAACCATATACAAATTATTTCTTATGCGCTTTCTTTTGTTTTCCGTGTAAAATCAACATAAACAAATACCGTTTTCAGAGGACAGATTCAACATCGATGAGCTTCACATACATTTTCTCCAGACACTCGTACAACGTATAGATCAAGGGAGTTCCAAACCAAAAGCAACCAGAATTAACAAAAATCTACTTAGACAATCAAACTTACTTCACACCAACAATCGACATGAGGAACTTGAGGTTGGCATTCACTTCATCCAGATCCGAATCGCCTTTGAACGATGCTGGTGGCTCTATCCCAGTGAACACATATAGAGCCTTTAGTTCTCCCATATATGTTGCTTCACTTGGTGCTTTGTATCCCACGATCGCCCTCATCGTGCTGATTTTTTCCCAAATTTTCTCCTCATCTAAATTGTCCTGCAAAACACAACACTACTGAAATCAGGATTATATTATAACATAATAATAGACTAGTTAACTATAGAGACAAGAACCGTATGTATGAAATCATACGAGGATACCCTGATCATATGCAACATTCGTCTCTTAACGCTAATGAAATCATACGAGGATACCCTGATCATATGCAACAATTCGTCTCTTAACGCTAGCATCACAATACCTTCTTAGGATTAAATTAAATTACCAAAGAAATTGAAGTTGGCAACCTGATATGACACAAAAAATAACTCGTCCAGTTAGCTTTTTTTATTCATGCAACGTTTTTCAAGTGTGTCCTTTTTTCCTATATATTAAAAAATGGTTCGTAGGGCAAATTATTTTTTGTGCTCTATCCGTTTTCCAACTTTGTTGATAACACTTGTCGGATTTCCAAGTTGTTTCCTAGGAACTTATTATAATGTCTTTGAATATGACACATAGTTCTTAGTCCTATAAGTTAAAAGTTCCGCTAAATATTTTACTGGGATGTCTGCAAGGCCGAAAAGACCCATTTTGTTATATGGATAAAAATATTTTGTCCCAAATTCTCAGATCCCATTTCTATCTACCAATCACATAGATACACATCATCAGAGATAGAATCACATCATCAAAGACGTAATGTGAATATGAATTAAATAAATTTAAAACATGTAAAAATCTGATGTATCATAATTTCATTGGTGTGGATTCTTATGATTTAATTTTTTTGTTTTTGGGAATAGATAAATAAATGGAGAGGTTTCCAAAACTCACGCACAACCCGTTTAAATTTCAAAATACATTAATGATTCATATACGATTTAGTTTTACTTAAATATTTTATAAGATAGTGTTAATATGTTCATATTAACACATCACATCACAATACTTCTGTTTTGCAGTTGTTGAAACCATGGTTTAATATAGAATGATTAAATTGTCATAATGTAATATGGTTGTTTGATAATTGTTCATAATGAAATTAGACCGTTGAATGGTTCAAGGAGGCCCAAGATACAAAACCATTAAGAGGGTTTTAGAGACGGTCTTTTTTTGTCAAACAAGATTCACCTCTTGAATCCTCTTAGAGGCTGTTTGGGATTGCTTATAAAAATAACTTATTGATTTATTCCGATGTGTCATCGATAATAAATATTTCTGAGTGTTTGGATAAACGGCTTACGGTTTATACCGGTGTCAAACAGGTAATAAGAAGTTTTTGAAAAAGTTAAACCATTCTCACTTATAATAAGTTGATAAGCACTTTATTTCAAATAAGCAAATCCCAAAACACCCCCTTAATAGAACTATCAGGAGGTAAGAAAAGAGCCCACAATCAATCATATGCATTCATGTGTCATGGAGATCTTGAATCAACATTTTAACAAGTAGAAAACGAATTAGAGAAATATGGGGACCAACCTCTCGGGATGGCACTTTTGTATCTGTCGTAGAAGCAACTTTCACATAGTCCGAGTCCAAAGTTGGCCGTCTAAAAGAATTAGGAAGCGCCATGGCATCCACTTCGTCACCCGCTACAAATTACATGGATCAATTAAGTATTTCAAAGAGATACCAACATGAAACGTTACAAGTACTATTGAGTAGTTACCTTCAAGGCTCCCCGAATTCATGCTCGTACCGAACAAATCCAAACCACTCTCCCCCCCTATTTCCCTTGCATCTGCATTTGCATGAATCAACTGTTCTTCCTTCGTTCTCAAGATGGCATGTTCATTTTCTGGGATGGAACTGTTTTTTTCCTGCAAACCCATATTTTTCTTCTTGGTGGCATCTCCGACCGGTTGTCGTTCTACTTCTCTTGCATTGAAGTTATTTTCCTCATTTCTTCCGGCCAAAACAACTTCTTGGCGAATCTCCCCACCGGGCTCCTCGTTCTTACTTGCTTCCTCTACTAGTTTCTTCTCTGAGTCGATCTCCTTAACCCTAACCGGATCCGTTGTGGATTCATTATCGATATTCCTCCTCCCTTCATCCCTTATTTTTTCCAACAACCCGGTACTTCCTTTCACTATCTCTTCGGTTTCATCTTCCATTGCTTCCTTTCTTTCTTCCTCTAAGCTATCATCATCATCTCCCTCAAGATACTCTCCAGCATCTTCCTCATACCCTTGTTCATCTGCACTATTGCCACCAACCTTTATATTCGATCTCGACCCTTGAACACGTTCGTCACCAAGCCTCATCTCGACTCCTTGCTGTATGACAATACTTTTTCCTTGCAGAAATTGCCTATAATCGTCATCACCACCATCATCTAACTCGACGTCCTTAATTCGATCATATGCTTGATCATCTTCCACCACATTTTCATCTACATTAGTCATTAAAGCTTCCACTTTTTTATGATATCCATCATCGTCTAACTCGAACCTAATCTCAGCCCTTTCTTCTATATACCTGATTCGTTCTTGTTCGTCCTCCTGTTGCATCAGATTCTGTCTCTTGAGATCGTCATCTTCATCGGTATAATAACCTTTTTTGTCTACAATCCCTCCCATAATTGTAACCAAACCTCCCTCAATTTGCCTGTAATCATCTAAGCACTCATATCCTTGTTTTATATCCTCCGACTGTTCTTCATCCCGCATAAGGGGTAATTCTATTTCTGGGGTGGGCAGTAACTTTCTCATGAGCTTATTGGTACAAGCATAGCTCGCAAATACAAGCCCAAAAGGGACAGAAAACGCAACCCCCATAGCTGAAAATACTACAAGTGGTGGAAGAACAAGTGGTGCAGATGACACGATAATACCAGTGATTACCATCTTCTTTCCAATCCCATATCCTTTCTTCAATATCCATTTCAACATATCACCTTCTTCATTCCAAGATGGGTATTCTTGAATTGCCCATTCTGATTCTGGATCTTCCATCCTAATCAATTTAAACTAAACCAAATTGATCAAAATAGTCGATTGAATACTATGTTAGCTGTTGTTTACATTTGAATCCAATAAATTATACCTACTGAAACAATTACATGAACGATTATCCAGTTATTCTTGATTTTCCCAACTCCATCTCTTACTTCCTTCGGTAGCTGAAGAAAATTTCGAACAACAGATTGATTATTTGAAGCTAAACCAGAAGGTAAAAGATCCATCAAGAAATTGTATAGAAGTTGAAACTAAGATTAGAAATAGGATATGTACCTGAGTAACGTGGATTTGTGAGATTGCTGCAATTGGGATGGAAGACGGTAGATTTGAAGGTTGAAGCAGGGGTTTTGGGGAAGCGTGAAAATTGATTATTAAGATAGAAGACACGCGTTGGGAGGATGGAAGAGAAGATGGTTGAAATCAGTTGAGAAGGTGACAGGCGTCTCCATTTTAGCATGCATCGAGAGTTGTAAAAAACTGAAAAATCAAAATTTATACATTTAATTTCAAAAGATTTTTAGAGTTAAATTCAAAATTTATCCTTATACCGACTTAGAGATGGTCAAATGGGTCTAGTTCATTCGTGACTCACGAGGGACCGAGATCAGGATTGATTTGGGATGTACTTGGTTTGTGATGGATTGGAATCAATTTGGGACTATCGGTTAAAGACCGGTTACGTTTTTCGTCAAAAAAAATAAGGTCTGACCTTGTTCGAGACCAGTTTGGAATCGATTTATGGCCGTGGTCCAGACCAGCCCGATTTTTCCAACAAAAATATTTTTTTAAATTTATTTCTAACTTTCTAAGTTTATTTGATTGAAAACCAATTACAAAATTATAATAAAACATATTTTTAAGTGTATTTAATTGTCTCATTTACCCTCTATTCACTATATATACAAGTCATATGGTGTATGACAAAATATACCAACTCAAAAACGTTCACAATTCTCGCAAAAAAATGTATTTTTTAAGTGTATATAATTGACCCAATTACATATTTTCAAGTGTATTAGACTAACATTTTTGTATTATTAAAAAAACTTCAAAAAAAATTACGTAGAAAATCGAATTTTAACTTTCTTTACATAGGATCGGTTTGAGCCCTGCTCGGGACCAGGACCGATTCTCATAACCAGACCTCATACACTTTAACCGCGCCTTCATATTTGGATCGAAATCGGGACCGCTTACACCAGGATCGGGAACGGTTACGAGATCAATATTTTAGGCCCGATCTGAGACTGATTTTTGACCACCTATATTGTAGGTTACATAAATTAATGAAAAATGTCTTTAGAGGGATATTCATATACTTTCATTTTTATAACATATATGGTCCCTTCTCTAACTCCTTGAACTAAGTTTTCGTTAGTGAGGGGTAGTTGTCTATTCATTCTCCTCTTCGTCAAACTACATTTTATAACATATTTGGTTCTTCAAACTAATTTATATTGGTCCCTCAAACTATTTTTTATTTTTATAAGAGATTTGATCGCTCCCTCAACTTTCATTTTTTGAATTTGGTGTTTCCCTTTAATCAATAAAACTTGGTGACACAAATATATATCTTCTAAATATAATTAGTATAATAATTAAATAAAATTTGAAACTTAGATTTTGCCATGGAATATTTTATCTTTTCAGAAACATTATTTCCATAAAATCCTTTAGCTCAAATAAAACATAATTTTGATAAATATTTTGTTTTAATTAGTTAAAATTTTGATAAATATCTCGTTTTAATTAGTTGAAAATTTAAAAAAAAAATGTTTTGTTGGGTATTTAGTTTTAATTTGAACTAAAGGATTTTATGAAAGTAGTTTCTGAAAATATAAAATATTTCATAGCAAAACCTAAGCTTCAAAATTTGTTTAATTAGTTTTGCTAATTATATTTACGAAATATATATTTGTGCCACCAAATCATATTGATTACACGGAGGGACCAAATCTATATATATATTAAAGAAGAAACCAGTGTCATTGACGTGGCCTCCTGTGGAGCCTAGGACATCCTTTCTCTTTTTTCTCTTTACCTCACCCAACTCATTATTGATTTTTGATTTTCGATGCTCACATTTAAGCCACATCGATTCATCTTATCCTACTCCAAAATTGATCCATTCGATTCATCTTCTCCTACTCCAAAACTGACGAATGTTATATTTCCATTTTCTTCATCTATCAGGTGCCCAAGTTTTCATTTCATCATTTTTGGCTTTGTTTTGGTTAACGGGTATTTTGAGAAGATCTTGGTGGAGAAATCTAATCGAAACTGAGCACCAATCGATCATTGACGCTACATCGGATTATGTTGGTGGAGATCATCTACAGCTAAGACCGAATGCCCACTAGAGCATTAGCTTGACCTCCGACCAGAAAATCGGCACGAAAGCCCTGTAAGTTCATCATCGGCTCTCCACCTCCTCCAATCCGACTAGGGTTATATTTTCATCTAGGGTTCTAATTCAATGATTAAAGAAAAATCTTGATGCCCCTGTATGATCTGTTGTATGTTTTAAACAACCAATCCATCTGGTTAAATTCTTATATGTGGTTCTCTTTTAAGAAGCATCTGGTAGAATATATGGAAAGGAAAAACATTTCCAATTGAATTTATTTTGTGTATCAATCGACAATGTAAGCTACATATAGTTTGAAATGGCTATGTATAATAAGTAAATGGACGAGAGGTTGTGTTTATTCGTAATCGAACTGACATCAAATCTCTTGGCTTGCCTTAATTTATGAAATGGCTACATCAGATCCATTTTTTTAAATTTGGGATGAAGTAGATGCCTGAGTGAAATATAAACAGATCCTATATGATTTATGAGGGTGATTGTAGTAGTTATTGGATTTGTTGTTGTGGGAAATTTTGGCCTCCAGTGTCTTAAAAACCCTTGCTTACAGTCCCTTTCAGCTTCATAAGACTTAGGGGCAGTTTAAAACGCTTACTTGGTAAGTACTTAACGGATAATATTCCTCATCGAATGAACATGGCAAGGCCAAGAATCCTACCCGGTAAGAGCGACGATAAGGATGGAGAGTCTTATCCGGTAAGTGAGGGTGACGACTCTTACCCGGGTAAGCGCTTACCAGGTAAATTGTTGCATAGGATACGTTTTAATGTACTACAATCTTATCCAATAAAATAAATTATAGTGTTTAAACACTTACCGGGTAAGCATTTAGGTAAACGGCCCCTTACTTTCATTAGTAACCAATCATGAATCAAGTGTTTCAGAAAATTAAAGCCAGGTTCAAAAACTTTAATAAAGAGATTTTTTTTTTCTCATTCCTATATGAGTAATTGATGAACCATGAAATCTATAATTTGGAAAAGTAATTGTATCAAAATTATAGTTTTCATGCATAATTAAAAAATATTAAAAAATATAAGTATATTTTATAATAAACTCAACTGTTTATACTTCCACAGATCCAAAAACTTGTATCAGTTTCAAGTTTAACACATTAGTCATCAATAATATACAAAAAAGTGACTCAATATATAGGAATC